AATTTCAGATTTCTTCAAATTTTCGATTGCAGTTTTTCGTTCACGTTTTTTATTTTCTTTATTTCTTCAATTTTTTGATGTTTCAATTACATCATTTTAGAATTTTTCCATTTTTCAGTTATTAGATTTTAAAACTTTTTCATTTATTCGATTTTTCAGTTTTTCGATTTTTTCCGATTTATATTTTTAAAATTTTTCGATATTTTCAATTATTTGTTTCTACAATTTTTGGATTATCTGTTTTTCATTTCTTTCTTGTTTAATTTTACGAAATGCATTTCCATTTTTAAATTTTTCAGTAGTTCGATTTTCCAACTTTTGGATCTTTCAATTTTTAGATTTTGCAATTTGTCTGTTTGCAATTTCATTGTTTCAATTTTAGGATTTTAGAATTTTTCCATGTTTGAAATATTCTTTCATGTATTCGACTTTTCGATTTTTCTGTTTATAATTTTCAAATTTTCGTTTCTTCAATTTCAGATTTCTTCAAATTTTCGATTGCAGTATTTCGTTCACGTCTTTTATTTTTTTTTTATTTCTTCAATTTTTTTATTTTTCAATTGCACCATTTTAGAATTTTTCTATTTTTCAGTTACTAGATTTTAAAACTTTTTCATTTATTCGATTTTTCAATTTTTCAATTTTTTCCGATTTTTATTTTTAAAATTTTTCGATATTTTCAATTATTTGTTTCTTCAGTTTTTGGATGATCTGTTTTTCATTTCTTTTTTGTTTAATTCTACGAAATGCATTTCCATTTTTAAATTTTTCAGTTTTTTGATTTTCCTACTTTTGGATGTTTCAATTTTTATTTTGCAATTTTTCTGTTTGCAATTTCATTGTTTCAATTTTAGGATTTTAGAATGTTTCCATTTTTCAAATATTTTTTTCATGTATTCGACTTTTCGATTTTTCTATTTGTAATTTTCAAATTTTCGTTTCTTCAATTTCACATTTCTTCAAATTTTCGATTGCAATTTTTGGTTCACATCTTTTATTTTCTTTATTTCTTAAATTTTTTGAATTTTCAATTGCACCATGTTAGAATTTTTCCATTTTTCAGTTACTAGATTTTAAAACTTTTTCATTTATTCGATTTTTCGATTTTTTCCGATTTTTATTTTTAAAATTTTTCGATATTTTCAATTATTTGTTCCTACAATTTTTAGATTATCTGTTTTTCATTTCTTTCTTGTTTAATTTTACGAAATGTATTTTCATTTTTAAATTTTTCAGTTTTTTGATTTTCCAACTTTTGGATGTTTCAATTTTTAGATTTTGCAATTTCTCTGTTTGCAATTTCATTGTTTCAATTTTAGGATTTTAGAATTTTTCCATTTTTCAAATATTTTTTTCATGCATTCGACTTTTTGATTTTTCTATTTGTAATTTTCAAATTTTCGTTTCTTCAATTTCATATTTCTTCAAATTTTCGATTGCAATTTTTCGTTCACGTCTTTTATTTTCTTTATTTCTTCAATTTTTTGATTTTTCAATTGCACCATTTTAGAATTTTTCCATTTTTCAGTTACTATTTTTTAAAATTTTTCGATATTTTCAATTATTTGTTTCTTCAATTTTTGTATTATCTGTTTTTCATTTCTTTCTTTTTTAATTTTACGTAATGCATTTCCATTTTTAAATTTTGCATTTTTTCTGTATGCAATTTCACCGTTTCGATTTTACGATTTTAGAATTTTTCCATTTTTGAAATATTTTTTTCATGTATTCGACTTTTCAATTTTCTATTTTTAATTTTCAAATTTTTGTTTCTTCAGTTTTACATTTCTTCAAATTTTCGATTGCAATTTTTCGTTCACGTCTTTTATTTTCTTTATTTCTTCATTTTTTTTTTCAATTGTACCATTTTAGAATTTTTCCATTTTTCAGTTATTAGATTTTAAAACTTTTTCATTTATTCCATTTTTTCCGATTTTATTTTTTCAATTTTTCGATATTTTCAATTACATATTTGTTTCTTCAATTTTTGGATTTAAAACTTTTCTTTTGTTTCATGTTTAATTTTACGAAATGCATTTCCATTTTAAAAATTTTCAGTTTTTCGATTTTCCAAGTCTTGAATGTTTAATTTTTTGATTTTGCAATTTCCCTGCTTCAATGTTAGGATTTTAAATTTTTTCCATTTTTCAAATATTTTTTTCATGTATTCGACTTTTCGATTTTTCTATTTTTAATTTTCAAATGTTCGTTTCTTTAGTTTTACATTTCTTCAAATTTTCATTTGCAATTTTTCGTTTGCGTCTTTTACTTTCTTTATTTCTTCAATTTTTTGATTTTCAAATGTACCATTTTAGAATGTTTCCATTTTTCATTTACTAGATTTTAAAACTTTTTCATTTATTGGATTTTCAATTTTTCGATATTTAATTTTTCAGTTGTTCGAACTTTGTCTTAACAATTTTTCGACTTTATAATTTTTGGGTTTTCCAATTTTTCGATTCATTTTTTTTTTCGATTTTTAAGTTTCCCGATTCTTCAGTGTTTCAACTTTTCGCTTTTTCGATTTTTCAATTTTTCATTCTTCAAATTTTCGATTATCAATTTTTCGTTTCCCCTTTTTTATTTTCTTTTTTACATTTTTTCGACTTTTTAATGTGCCGATTTTATAGAAATAATATGTACTGAAAAATCAAAAATGAAAAAAGGAAAAGTTCAAAATAAAAACTTTGAAAAACCTAAAAAAACTTGAAAAATTGAAAAAACGAATAACTGAAAAATCGAAATAATAAAAATTGAGAAACTCAAAAATCGAAAAGTTGGATGTTACAATTTTTGGTTTGGGGATTTTATCTTATTTTTTCAATTTTTCGGTTTTGTAATGTTCTGATTTTATAATCTTTTTTTCAGTGAGAAATTTTTCAATTTTTCGTTGCCAGTTAGACAAAAAAATTACAACCATTAATAGTCACCCACTATTCCGGTATAATAAAATAAAAAATAATACAAAATAATTTATATCAAAACACAGTATTTTTTCGTTGAATCTTGAATCACTGTTTTTTAATCAACTTCGAAAAACCAATAAACCAAAACCAGCTATTCTAGATATTCTAGACCCAATTGCCAAATAACAAAGTTCATGTTTTGTCGACACTTCATTGCTCCTAGAATGAGAAAAAGTAGGTCCCGTTTCCGTTTGTCTGTCGTCTGTTCATCCTTTATCCACTGGCTGGTGGTAATTTTATTAAATACCGTATGATTTTTTAGACAGACTCGACATACGGAAAACATCTGTAAACAAAAGATGTGAAAGACGTAGGGTGCAGTTTAATCAGTTTAACCTGAATTTGTGTCAGTGACAATCACGTTTAATAAAAAATAATTAAGCTACACCCTACGTCTTCGACATCGCTTGTTTGCAGAACTTCTCTTTATGTTTAATTTAAAAAATTATGCGGCATTATTGTTCCAAGAAATTTGAAATTTTAACCATACACTTTTTTGTTTATAATGCTTCCATAAGTAGATTTTGTATAGGCAACCCACAATACAAGTTAAAGCACTAAAATTTTTATCAGTGACATCTGGAACTCAAAAACACTGATTATCCCCCCCAGAAAAACACCCCTCGCTTCATCAGTCTAGTTTATTAAACAAAACACATCAACTCAAACGTATTTACAAAACTTACATCAAAAATAAATAAAAGACTAGCATTTCCAATTTCAAAATTTTTGGTTTGGTCGTACGCACTCTCCCTAATAAATAAATAAATAAAAATTAATACTAACTTTGTACCATATCATGAGATTACACAAGTCAAAGCTCGCCGAATACATAAACCTACGTTTTGAGTGCATTCCAGACATTAGCCAAGCTGCACCGATCACTGTCATGCGTCAATTTATGCGCCAAATAATAATGTTTCATTACAAACTGTTTCTGACATATATCACAAGTACAGGGTCATTATAAAATATTGTAGTCAACTCACCTATGAAAAACAAATGAAATTTTTCTCGTGCCGCTAATCACCAAAATGATTTGAACTGTTTTGAAATGTCACGAACGTCCAAACAAATCTGTCAGATGTGTCAAAAATTGAAATGCCCGGTTCGCGGTTTAATTTCATTTTAAATAGACACGAAAAGACGCCAGGCCAGAGCATTAAGGGTTGCAGTGTTATCGAGCATTTGTGAACGCCACTGCAATACATTTCAGTTTCAAAAATTGTAAATTGTCAGAAAAACGTTTAAGGGCTTTGTCATGAATTACACCTTGGAAAGTCGATTGGAGTTGAACAGAATAAATCATCTGGTCTGTTTTGCAAAGAAGCAATAATTTTTCAAATAATGAAATCCAAAAAGTGAGGTTAAGTTTGTCGAAACCAATGAACACGGTAATTATTTAAAAAATTACATTTTTATAGGTACCCTGAAGGTAAAAATTGTGAAAAATCACGTAATGGACAATGGCAGAGCAAGTCTTATCACAGTTAACGAACACTATGAGTACCTAATGAGTTTTTGCAGTAAATAATTTTGCCAAAGTTGTGATCCCGCGAAAGTTCTGTTTGTAAATTGTAAGGAATCGTCAAAATATTGGTGCAGACATGGTTTGTGACCGGTGCTTTTCTCTTGAAAAAACACAACTGAAATCCTTGATCTTCATCCCTACAATAGGTGAAAATTGCTATGTCCAAACATTACCTTCAGCTTTGCAGTTTCTAGATATCTGAAACATGCCAGATCTGCATAACAGGAATGTCAAAGAGGTTCTACCCAAAACACGCCCACATGGCCATCGTAATATCAAGATTTTTCAAAATTTCTATAAGAAAAAAGATGAAAAAACCAATAAAATTTCAGGAGCATAGTGTTAAGAGTTCTGTAGCTGATTATGAGATCTCTTGAAACAACAGAATGTTTAATAAAGATTTTTAACTTTCCTAATAGTAAAATTACAATTATTACTAAACAGTAAGTTGAAGTAAGTTTTAAATTAAGAGAATGCAACTAACACCGAAAGAAAAATGAAAGTTACTGAAAATAAAAAACTTTATTGCAGTACCTACATACACTTTCTGCATCTAATTTTGTTTATTGATCACATTCATTTACTTGAAAAAGTATCAGGCCTATGAATCGTCGTCTGCTAACCACACACCAACCTTCATTGCGTGTGATGGTGTTTCTTCAAAAGGTGAGTATTTTCTATACACCAAATTCTGAAGTTCTGTCAGTTGACATAATAGCCTAACAGATGAAACCAGGCTTCATCAGAAAAGAACGACAAATCGAGAATCCCGTTATCGTCCATATCAGCTTGAAACCAACTACACTACCCAACGCGGCAAGGAAAATCAGCTGGTTGCAGCTCCTGAACCAACAAAATCTTGTATGGATGCATATGTAACTTCTCTTTTACGATTTTCTGACATGGGCTGTATGGTACTCCGGACAGTAAAGATTTTTGACAAAGCTTTATTCGGACTTTGTTCCATTCTCATCCTTAAATCTTCAACAACGTCTTCACTAACTTGAGGTCTCCCCGTCGGTTTTCACTTAGAAATGCTACCAGTGTCGTTAAATCTGGCCATAATTCGCCATATAGCGTCTTCAAAGATTCTTCATCAATGACAACAGAACATTTCACTAGATACTCGTTTTTAGACGCCTCCACAGAGTACACTCCATCCCCATCCTCATTTAACACCCCATTACGGTAATAGGCATGATGATTGCGCCAAAGGACTAAAAAAATCATTTGTAACACTGACCATAGTTATTCCTCTCTGTTCATTACCTGAGATTATTCCACAATGATCTGTAGTTTTGATAAAAACTGTTTTTTGAGACACTTATTAAAGTTCTAACAAAGAGGAAGACAGCAAAAATGAAAACAAGACAAGTCAATTAACGCACAAAGTGAGGGAAAACGTAGCAGTACAAACGAAAAAATTATTGACATCTGACAGAATTTGATGAAGCGTTGAAACAGTGCAGCCGCTAATGTCAACTAATGTGGCGCTAAAAATAAAAATTCCAATATTAGTGTAATCCTTTCCACAAAACTGAAAAAGGCGGCACAAAATGTCACCAAAATCATGGCCTTCTTCGACTACAATATTTTATAATGACCCTGTATAACTAGCCTGCTTATCGTGAGTCTTTTTATGCTTCAACAAATTATCGTTCCTCGAAAAACTCTTATCGCAAATATTACAGGTGAAGTTTTTCTGACCACTGTGCGAGGTCATGTGTCTCAACAGGTGCTCCTTCCTCATGAAACTCTTATTGCAGTTCTCACACGTGTACGGCCGAAACCCCGTATGGAGTTTCACGTGCTGGTACAAGTGTTCTCTCCGCTTGAAGCTCTTCTGACAGATCTCATACACGTGCGTTTTTATGATTTGATTGTTGACTTGAGAGTTCTGTAAGTCGTCGGCTGGAGGGGCGATTTTCGGCTGACTCGTCACTATGTTGGTTGGAAAGTTGTTGGTTGGTAGGCTTCTAGGGAAATTTTGTGTTTGTTGTTGGTTCAGGTCTTGGTTCAAAACGTTTAAATTTACAGTTGAGGGTTCTACTGTGGAATTACAAATGATGTTGGGGGTGGCGACTACGTTGCTAGTGTTCCCGTTCAATAAATTCGTCGGGTATATATTATTACTATACCCGTTGAAACCGTTTTGATTAAACTCTTGTAGATTATTAAAAATAACGCTGGGGTTTATTTTCTCCTCGTCTTTTATTTTCTTTATTTCTTCAATTTTTTGATTTTTCAGTTTTGCCATTTAGAGTTTTTCCATTTTTCAGTTACTTTTTCAATTTTTCGATTTTTTTTCCCATTTTTATTTTTAAATTTTTCGATATTTTCAATTACTTATTTCTACAATTTTTGGATTATCTGTTTTTCATTTCTTTCTTGTTTAATTTTACGAAATGCATTTCCATTTTTAAATTTTTCAGTTTTTCGATTTTCCAACTTTTGGATGTTTCAATTTTTAGATTTTGCAATTTTTCTGTTTGGAATTTCATTGTTTCAATTTTAGGATTGTAGAATTTTTCCATTTTTCAAATATTTTTTTCATGTATTCGACTTCTCAATTTTCTATTTGTGATTTTCAAATTTTCGTTTCTTCAATTTCACATTTCTTCAAATTTTCGATTGCAATTTTTGGTTCACATCTTTTATTTTCTTTATTTCTTAAATTTTTTGATTTTTCAATTGCACCATTTTAGAATTTTTCCATTTTTGAGTTACTAGATTTTAAAACTTTTTCATTTTTTCGATTTTTTCCGATTTTTATTTGTAAAATGTTTCGATATTTTCAATTATTTGTTCCTACAATTTTTGGATTATCTGTTTTTCATTTCTTTCTTGTTTAATTTTACGAAATGTATTTTCATTTTTAAATTTTTCACTTTTTTGATTTTCCAACTTTTGGATGTTTCAATTTATAGATTTTGCAATTTTTCTGTTTGCAATTTCATTGTTTCAATTTTAGAATTTTAGAATTTTTCCATTTTTCAAATATTTTTTTCATGTATTCGACTTTTTGATTTTTCTATTTGAAATTTTCAAATTTTCGTTTCTTCAGTTTCACATTTCTTCAAATTTTCGATTGCAGTTTTTCGTTCACGTCTTTTATTTTCTTTATTTCTTCAATTTTTTGATTTTTCAGTTTTGCCATTTTAGAGTTTTTCCATTTTTCAGTTCCTTTTTCAATTTTTCGATTTTTTTCCCATTTTTATTTTTAAATTTTTCGATATTTTCAATTACTTATTTCTATAATTTTTGGATTATCTGTTTTTCATTTCTTTCTTTTTTAATTTTACGTAATGCATTTCCATTTTTAAATTTTTCGATATTTTCAATTATTTGTTTCTTCAATTTTTGGATTATCTGTTTTTCATTTCTTTTTGTTTAATTTTACGAAATGCATTTCCATTTTTAAATTTTTCAGTTTTTCGATTTTCCAACTTTTGGATGTTTAAATTTTTAGATTTTGCAATTTTTCTGTTTGGAATTTCATTGTTTCAATTTTAGGATTGTAGAATTTTTCCATTTTTCAAATATATTTTTCATTTTTCATTCGACTTCTCAATTTTCTATTTGTAATTTTCAAATTTTCGTTTCTTCAGTTTTACATTTCTTCAAATTTTCAATTGTACCATTTTAGAATTTTTCCATTTTTCAGTTATTAAACTTACAAATTTTTCATTTGTTTGATTTTTCAATTTTTCGATATTTTCCGATTTTTATTTTTAAAATTTTTCGATATTTTCAATTATTTGTTGCTACAATTTTTGGATTATCTGTTTTTCATTTCTTTCTTGTTTAATTTTACGAAATGCATTTCCATTTTTAAATTTTTCAGTTTTCCAAATTTTGGATGTTTCAATTTTTAAATTTTGCATTTTTTCTGTTTGGAATTTCATTGTTTCAATTTTAGGATTTTAGAATTTTTCCATTTTTCAGTTATTAAACTTACAAATTTTTCATTTGTTTGATTTTTCAATTTTTCGATTTTTTCCGATTTTTATTTTTAAAATTTTTCGATATTTTCAATTATTTGTTCCTACAATTTTTGGATTATCTGTTTTTCATTTCTTTCTTGTTTAATTTTACGAAATGCATTTCCATTTTTAAATTTTTCAGTTTTCCAACTTTTGGATGTTTCAATTTTTAAATTTTGCATTTTTTCTGTTTGGAATTTCATTGTTTCAATTTTAGGATTTTAGAATTTTTCCATTTTTCCAATATTTTTTTCATGTATTCGACTTTTCGATTTTTCTGTTTGTAATTTTCAAATTTTCGTTTCTTCAGTTTCATATTTCTTCAATTTTCTGATTTTTCAATTGTACCATTTTAGAATTTTTCCATTTTTCAGTTACTATTTTTTAAATTTTTCGATATTTTCAATTATTTGTTTCTTCAATTTTTGGATTTTCAGTTTTTCATTTCATTCTTTTTTAATTTTACGTAATGCATTTCCATTTTTAAATTTTTCAGTTTTTCGATTTTCCAACTTTTGGATGTTTCAGTTTTTAATTTTGCAATTTTTCTGTTTGCAATTTCACCGTTTCAATTTTACGATTTTAGAATTTTTCCATTTTTCAAATATTTTTTTTCATGTATTCGACTTTTCGATTTTTCTATTTGTAAATTTAAAATTTTCGTTTCTTTATTTTCACAGTTCTTTAAATTTTCGATTGCAATTTTTCGTTCACGTCTTTTATTTTCTTTATTTCTTCAATTTTTTGATTTTTCAATTGCACCATTTTAGAATTTTTCTATTTTTCAGTTACTAGATTTTAAAACTTTTTCATTTATTCGATGTTTCAATTTTTCGATTTTTTCCGATTTTTATTTTTTAAATTTTTCGATATTTTCAATTATTTGTTTCTTCAATTTTTGGATTTTCAGTTTTTCATTTCTTTCTTTTTTAATTTTACGTAATGCATTTCCATTTTTAAATTTTTCAGTTTTTCGATTTTCCAACTTTTGGATGTTTCAATTTTTAAATTTCGCAATTTTTCTGTTTGCAATTTCACCGTTTCAATTTTCCGATTTTAGAATTTTTCCATTTTTGAAATATTTTTTTCATGTATTTGACTTTTCAATTTTCAATTTTTAATTTTCAAATTTTCGTTTTTTCAGTTTTACATTTCTTCAAATTTTCGATTGCAATTTTTCGTTCACGTCTTTTATTTTCTTTATTTCTTCAATTTTCTGAATTTTCAATTGTACCATTTTAGAATTTTTCCATTTTTCAGTTACTATTTTTAAAATTTTTCGATATTTTCAATTATTTGTTTCTTCAATTTTTGGATTTTTAGTTTTTCATTTCTTTCTTTTTTAATTTTACGTAATCCATTTCCATTTTTAAATTTTTCAGTTTTTCGATTTTCCAACTTTTGGATGTTTCAGTTTTTTAATTTTGCAATTTTTCTGTTTGCAATTTCACCGTTTCAATTTTCGGATTTTAGAATTTTTCTATTTTTGAAATATTTTTTTCATGTATTCGACTTTTCAATTTTCTATTTTTAATTTTCAAATTTTCGTTTCTTCAGTTTTACAGTTCTTCAAATTTTCGATTGCAATTTACGTTCACGTCTTTTATTTTCTTTATTTCTTAAATTTTTTGATTTTTCAATTGCACCATTTTAGAATTTTTCCATTTTTCAGTTACTATTTTTTAAATTTTTCGATATTTTCAATTATTTGTTTCTTCAATTTTTGGATTTTCAGTTTTTCATTTCTTTCTTTTTTAATTTTACGTAATGCATTTCCATTCTTAAATTTTTCAGTTTTTCGATTTTCCAACTTTTGAATGTTTCAATTTTTTGATTTTGCAATTTTTCTGTTTGCAATTTCATTGTTTCAATTTTAGGATTTTAGAATTTTTTCATTTTTCAAAAATTTTTTTTATGTATTCGACTTTTCGTTTTTTCTATTTGTAATTTTCAAATTTTCGTTTCTTCAGTTTTACATTTCTTCAAATTTTCGTTTGCGTCTTTTACTTTCTCTATTTCTTCAATTTTTTGATTTTCAATTGTACCAGTTTAGAATGTTTCCATTTTTCATTTACTAGATTTTAAAACTTTTTCATTTATTGGATTTTCAATTTTTCGATATTTAATTTTTCAATTGTTCGAACTTTCAGTCTTAACAATTTTTCGACTTTATAATTTTTGGGTTTTCCAATTTTTCGATTGATTTTTTTTTTTCGATTTTTAAGTTTCCCGATTTTTCGCTTTTTCAATTTTTCATTCTTCAAATTTTCGATTATCAATTTTTCGTTTCCTCTTTTTTATTTTCTTTTTTACATTTTTTCGACTTTTTAATGTGCCGATTTTATAAAAATAATAATACTGAAAAATCAAAAATGAAAAAAGGAAAAGTTCAAAATAAAAACTTTGAAAAATCTAAAAAAAACTTGAAAAATTGAAGAAACGAATAACTGAAAAATCGAAATAATAAAAATTAAGAAACTCAAAAATCGAAAAGTTGGATGTTACAATTTTTGGTTTGGGGATTTTATCTTTTTATTTTTTCAATTTTTCGGTTTTGTAATGTTCTGATTTTATAACCTTTTTTTCAGTGAGAAATTTTTCAATTTTTCGTTGCCAGTTAGACAAAAAAATTACAACCATTAATAGTCACCCACTATTCCGGTATAATAAAATAAAAAATAATACAAAATAATTTATATCAAAACACAGTATTTTTTCGTTGAATCTTGAATCACTGTTTTTTAGGGCCGAATTCTGTAAAGTATAAAGGCACTTTGGTAAAAGGATTGTCCTTTATATAAAGATAGGACCCTTATAGATCCGTTGCATAAAGGTGAAGTCCTTTATAGTTTCCCTTGTGCAACGTATGGTCATATGTGTCAGTCACTTTATGCAAATTATCTGTCAGTTTCATTAGCTTTATGTGGTGACCGTTTCTAAATAAAAGGGAAGAAATGGAGAATCTATGATTATTTATCCTAGAGGAATTACAATAAAGGTATATATGAATCAGAACAATCATGTCTCCTTCCAGTTTTATAATTTCATGGTCTAAATTTGTTAAGAATAGCAAAAACCACTAAAAATCGTCATATTAAAGTTAATTAAGCCCAATTTGGTGGAAATACAAATACTTTTACGATGCTCCAAATAGACTGGTAACTCTAATAAACAACTTTGCAAAAACAATTCCTTTGGAGGAGTCTTTACTTATAAAAAAGACCAAAAAATCCATTAAACGCCAGACTCCCCTGACCAGTTGCCACTCCAGTGTGTTGGTACATAAGGGGCCAGTGCTGATATCTCCAAAAATGTACATGATTTCATAAAGTGTTTATTATTTTTTTTTAAGTTTTTAATGTGTTACCATCATCACGAACCAACATACGAGCAAATAAATAATACTTTTACTATATGTCAAGCACAAAGACCACGACAAGAATTTCATATCTCATAAATTAACAAAATTTAAGTTTAAAAATCTCCCCAGCCCGTCACACCAACCATAGCGATATTGTGAAAATTTGAGGTTATGTACAATAGATTCCGTCTCTCTTGACACAATGATAAACGCAAGCGTTCCTTTTTTAAAAGCGTATACTATCGTAGTAAAAACATCCGTTCGTTCCTTTACATTTTGCACAAGGATTCACTTTCACATTTCCTTTACGGTAATGCCTTTAACAAACGGATCCCTTATTAAAAGGTTAAGATACAGAATTCGGCCCTTAATCAACTTCGAAAAACCAATAAACCAAAACCAGCTATTCTAGATATTCTAGACCCAATTGCCAAATAACAAAGTTCATGTTTTGTCGACACTTCATTGCTCCTAGAATGAGAAAAAGTAGGTCCCGTTTCCGTTTGTCTGTCGTCTGTTCATCCTTTATCCACTGGCTGGTGGTAATTTTATTAAATACCGTATGATTTTTTAGACAGACTCGACATACGGAAAACATCTGTAAACAAAAGATGTGAAAGACGTAGGGTGCAGTTTAATCAGTTTAACCTGAATTTGTGTCAGTGACAATCACGTTTAATAAAAAATAATTAAGCTACACCCTACGTCTTCGACATCGCTTGTTTGCAGAACTTCTCTTTATGTTTAATTTAAAAAATTATGCGGCATTATTGTTCCAAGAAATTTGAAATTTTAACCATACACTTTTTTGTTTATAATGCTTCCATAAGTAGATTTTGTATAGGCAACCCACAATACAAGTTAAAGCACTAAAATTTTTATCAGTGACATCTGGAACTCAAAAACACTGATTATCCCCCCCAGAAAAACACCCCTCGCTTCATCAGTCTAGTTTATTAAACAAAACACATCAACTCAAACGTATTTACAAAACTTACATCAAAAATAAATAAAAGACTAGCATTTCCAATTTCAAAATTTTTGGTTTGGTCGTACGCACTCTCCCTAATAAATAAATAAATAAAAATTAATACTAACTTTGTACCATATCATGAGATTACACAAGTCAAAGCTCGCCGAATACATAAACCTACGTTTTGAGTGCATTCCAGACATTAGCCAAGCTGCACCGATCACTGTCATGCGTCAATTTGTGCGCCAAATAATAATGTTTCATTACAAACTGTTTCTGACATATATCACAAGTATAACTAGCCTGCTTATCGTGAGTCTTTTTATGCTTCAACAAATTATCGTTCCTCGAAAAACTCTTATCGCAAATATTACAGGTGAAGTTTTTCTGACCACTGTGCGAGGTCATGTGTCTCAACAGGTGCTCCTTCCTCATGAAACTCTTATTGCAGTTCTCACACGTGTACGGCCGAAACCCCGTATGGAGTTTCACGTGCTGGTACAAGTGTTCTCTCCGCTTGAAGCTCTTCTGACAGATCTCACACACGTGCGTTTTTATGATTTGATTGTTGACCTGAGAGTTCTGTAAGTCGTCGGCTGGAGGGGCGATTTTCGGCTGACTCGTCACTATGTTGGTTGGAAAGTTGTTGGTTGGTAGGCTTCTAGGGAAATTTTGTGTTTGTTGTTGGTTCAGGTCTTGGTTCAAAACGTTTAAATTTACAGTTGAGGGTTCTACTGTGGAATTACAAATGATGTTGGGGGTGGCGACTACGTTGCTAGTGTTCCCGTTCAATAAATTCGTCGGGTATATATTATTACTATACCCGTTGAAACCGTTTTGATTAAACTCTTGTAGATTATTAAAAATAACGCTGGGGTTTATTTTTTCCTCGACTTTGATTGCGTAAGCAAACTTGTTCTGATTGTTTTTTTGGATTTTGTCAAATTTACTTTGACCCGTATCGTAATTAGTCTCAACTTCGCTATTCGTTAAGTCTATTTTAATAATAGGATCTTCTTTGTCCTTCTTCTGGGGTTTTGTACTTTTCACTTTTTGTAAATTCGCTTGGTTGATGAGCGACTCGAAATCCACCAACTGGGCGATGTTTATCACTTCACCGTTCGCGTTCACCACGACGTTGCTCAAACCTTCGTTCGAGCCCACTTTCGGGATGGCTTTAATCGCCGCCAAGTTGATCGTGTTGAGGTTATAGCCAACCTGTCCCTGCAGCTGGTTCGCGTTCTGTAAAATCTTCTCCGTTTTGACTACTTTGTTGTCAATGGGTTGGTTGGTGACTATCGCCGGTAACTGTAACGTATAAAAAGGGACATGTTCCATGGGTTTGACTTCGTTAACCGTCGCAAAAGTGTTCGTGTTAATTACACTACTCGAGGCCGCCGTTGTTGCTTCCGTTTGCTGATATTGAGGTACCGTACACTTACTCGTCGTGTCTTTGATATAAACCTAAAATTGATCACTTGAGTGCGTGATTACCGCAGTAAACGACTCATACTTTTCCACTCTTCTTAAAATCCTCCGTATACCTAAAGTTCTTAAAATAACTCGACAACATGCTCTCCGAACTGACGCACTCTTGTCGGAACGAGTAACACACTTCTAAGGTACGAAGACATTTGGAACACACGACTTTGGGCAGGAAATCGTTTTCGCAAACCTGCAATTGGGGCTGTTTTCATCTGAACGCACACAGGGGTGTACTTACTGTTAAAGATAAACAACTTTGGATTTTGTTTTGTAGTTGAATTTTGCGTCCCTCTTCTTGGAATATGTGAGTTTTGTCTTTTTGTTGGTTCGTGGCGCATAGTCTGCATAGCTCGTAAAAATTTACGCGTTTATAACCTGCCATTGTGGGTTTCTGTTTATAAAAACATTAATTATTTTCTAGTTTATTGATGATTATTTACATAAATGTCAGTTTTTGAATGACAGCTGACGACGCCGATGCGCCAGCGACACCAGTGGCGGGAAAAGGAAGCGCGGTTTGAATTAAAAAATGTGGCGGAGTTTGAAAGTTTGGCGCCGTTTTGAGAACGCGGAAACGTCATTTGCGTTAGCTTAAATAAATAGAATAAATATGCTCAAGAAGTAATAATTTATCACTTCTATAACACAGTATGATCGAAAAAAAAACCTCAAAGGTGCCATGAAATTTATTTTTGAAATAATGATGTTGGCATCGCAGCTTTTGACATTTTGTTTGACACCATAACCACAGTAGATCAGTAACGAAACTTCAGCAATATTTGCGGAACGGGTGTGACCTTGGGAGCCCGTTCCCGGGAAACACGAAGATTCAAATATTTCGTAGCATTCGTATGTGATTCATATAATACTAATAATTGTACACAAAAATAAAAATGGGTGGCATATACTAGTGACATTGGCCATTTTTTTCTTTCTTATAAATTATTAATGTATTCAAGCAAAACATTTTTATTCAATTTTGACGTTTTAAACTGCGTTTATTAAATCCTTAACAAGTCTGACAAATAAGTTGTTATCCACAAGTGAATTGCAAAATTTTTATTTCACTCTTAATATTTTTAAATCACTCACAAAAAAATAAAAAACAACTTCAGGAACATAAACATTTTGCTTATTATTTTTAAGTTTTCACAGAATACAATTTGTTTACAATTTTCACTAAAAGGTTGCTGCAGCTAAATCAGTATTGTTTGACATATTCATAAAATACCCTCGACATATTTGTTTGTCTCTGTGAGACGTCAATTTGGGAATTGTATAAATCCCACACCAATACAATTCCAAAGTGTGTTTCGGAAACTATTTACTACAGATTATTTCGATACGAGTGCAAGAACCAACTGTGAAACACTATTTTATTCGAAATGGAAAATTTGCTAAGGTGTTCTTTTAAACAAACTTCCACAACACATCTCCCCTGTATTCCAGCCTCTTCAACAATCATTAAGTGATGTGAGTTACCGGAAACTCACCTTGAAAGAACACAACTGTTTATGGTATGTTTGTGGATACTCATTAATACGAAAATTCTTACACCACCACTTCTGCGAAGTTTGTTGTGAACTTTGCACATTCTTACGAAGTGGTACATCCTGTTTTAATTGTGTGACATTTTAAAGTCTTCAATGAAGATGTGATTTTTAGCGATTTAATGATACCACCTAAACATTTTGCAGTTTATACTCCGATGGGTAATACATTTTGTCAGTTTTCCCAATTTATGCACCGTAGTCGTTAACTGGTTTGCGGCTAAAAAACGAACCATACAAAAATACCATTCCACCACCCCTGCAAAGACTTTCCTCTTGATTACCTAGTTTCAGTTTTTATTAGTTAGAATTTTTTACACATTAAAATTTAAAAATAAATCTTGGACGGCTCAAACACGCACACATCGAAAATTAAACTATTTCGTTTAACCTGCAGTTTGTTGACCTTTTTAGCCTGGAATTTTCTAGTACTTTTTACATGTATCGTAAGTATCTATTACTTTGTTAAAATAAATTTTACGTTTGTTTTTAACTCCATAACCCAACATCCCGTATGATTCCGTAATTAAAATGACATTTCTTGTTGACAAAACCAGACAAAACGTTCACCGAAAACCTTAAAATGAAAAAGAAACTATGTTCTTCAAGGTCGGAGCACCTTTAGTGACGCTAGTGACCTCTTTATGTCGTTCCGTAAGCTCCCCATGTATTTCTTATGGAATCAGCTGAGACTTTCATAGCCCTGCCATAACTGTCAAACTAAACAGAGTTATTTAAAAAATAAATTTCATGGCCTAAGAGCACTTTTTTCGAGCTTATGCTACTATACTACGAGAGTAGTATTGATAGTACATAGTAAATAGCCACAAAAGATCAGGTGAAATATCCGAGGCTCTTTATTAAAATAGCCGTAAAGCTTTTTTTCAAATTTGCCGCCAATGGAGATGGAATCTAATAAGAAAATGGCAAATCTTGTAGCAATCCAGGCTCATTTAAAACTGATTAATAGCAATAAAGAAAAAAGTAATCAAAGGAAACTGATAAGCACAATGATGTAAAGCTATTGGCAAATGATCCAGAAACACAAGAAATATTTTTATAAGTCGAGACTGATAATGATCATGATAATGATTTTCTTCGGTTTATTCACAGTCCTCGAGGACTGTGAATAAACCGAAGAAAATGAAAATTCTGTTGACACAGACAAAACGTTTCAATTTTAAAAATTTTGTATTGTATATAATAGAATTGTTTTTTTTTATTTTTGACAATATTGTAATAATAAATCAAATTTTAACTTTCACGTTTAAAAACAAAATAGGTATCGCTTTAGACAGATAACTTAAAAATGGTGAAACATTAGCCACTGTTGTCATATTTATTCTGAAAAATTATTAAGATTTTTATGATACATATTATAAAATGAAAACAGAGAAAACTATGTGTAAAAACATGAAATAAAACACCAGGTGTCTGGAAAATCCACTTAAAATGTACAAAGATATGGTTGTGTTGTTTTTGTAGTAATTTGATAAAATTCCATTTGACAACAATGTTTGCGAATGTACAAATCAGCCAAAATCGAAGGGATCTGGCGTTTCGTTGCTGGATGAACTTGAACAAATTTTTTGAGCTTTTAGTGTTTTATTTTTTATGAATTTGAAAAAGTTTTCAGTGCCGCAGTGTTTTTTTTTTAATTCGGGAGACTTTTTTATTTTGGGAGCCCATGGAGATTTTTTTTGAAAAGTTTAAAACAATCTTGAGGTTGTAGATATTCCTGTTTAGAAAAAAATTTACAGTACTTTGGAGTCTCTAATGTCTTTTCTTATAATAATTTAATTAAATTTCTTAGAGGATACGTCATTTGCTAAAATCAGTCTTATCTTATTAGCAGTTACTAGCCCCACCCACCCACCCTCTCGTTTCTTAGAGGATATGGCATTTGCCAAAATCAGTCTTATCTTAGCAAGTACTTACTGATGACTAACATTTACAAAAAAATATCAAAGTTTGGAAACATTACGAGTTTACTTATATAATATATGTACAAGGCAGGAATTTAGAACATCTTCTCTAGTGTTTAGTTGGTTATGTTTTAATGGATTTTTCTTTTATTAGTTTTGTTCTTGTTTATAATATATAAATGTCTTATTACATTTTTTTTTTGGTTTATTTATTAATGAAAAATAACAGCTTGTTTTACTGATAATAGTACACAACGATTAAAAAATAAAAGGTGGATTTCAGTCATAAGGATACTAAGAAATCAGAAAGGAACCCGGAGGTATTCACACATTAGGTGCGTGCAGTGTTGCCAATTTTACTTTTCATACATAATCTACATCATAAAGAATTTTTTTAATTTTTTTGGGACTCCGAAATATACATCAAGTGCTGAAGAGTTAATCCACCATTTTCCAGACACCCGGTATAGTCAAATATTTAAAAGAAAAATTAAAATTTGAAGGGTTATGTCGTCTATAGAATAAGCTATATAATATAACTTAATTCATCTTCTGCTAAAGGATTTTTACCAGATCAATCTGCTTGGATAAATTACGACTGAAAATCCAGATTTTTAACCACATAAATATTCAGCTATTAAAGCTATTTTTAAAAATTGCAGGCTATTTAACAACACAAGGTGATTGTTGGTTGAAACAAATTTTTGTGTTGGCAATTCTGAAATATTGGCAGCAAAAATGGTAGCATGTCAATTATCAGTGGTTAATTTTGACGTGAGTTATTCTCCTATCAAAGTTCTGATTTGGACTCGCAAGTGTGACCACAGAAAATGTCATGAGAACTGTCACGAACCAAAATAGTCACTCACTACATAATATATATAATTAATTAATTATAATTGTCTTCATTAATGTTTTAAATTTTTCAAACAGCATCTTCAATTTTTTTACATAGTGTTAAAATATTAAAATATTAGAATTATAACTGTAACAAACACGAATGCAGTCATAAACCACAATCCTAAGTCCATACTATTAAAAAAAAATTGAAATGACGTCGTGAAGATTTTGAAAGGGATAAACAAAAAAATGATTAGCGATGTTTATGATGATTTTAAAACATGTGCAAAATTTCAGAGCAGTCGGTTTTTTTGGGTTGTAAGTTAAATTGTAAAATATTATTTTACATGTTTCCAAAAATCTAGACACTTAAGTTAAAAACTAATTTAAGCGGAATTTATTTTGCAAAATTTTGAGATAAGATCAAATGCTTGACGGGGATGTTTTGGTATGCGTTTAAAATGTATGTAAAATGTAACAACAATCAGTCCAGTACTTTCAGAGATAATTTTTCTAATAAAATCCAGACAAAATTTCTGACATCACGGGTACTAAAACCAGATGTGACCAGATCTTATTAGGACTTAGAACATACTGATTTGTGTGCTAATTGTAATTGTTGGTTGCATATCCAACCACTTGTATATTTTTCAACTAACAATATTACAATACAAGTGGCCCATTTGCTTGTACTACAAAGTTCAGACAGTGTTAGTGAATAGTTACGAAGATGTAGAAAATGTAGATAGACTCATCAAATTCGGTTTAAGCCATTTAAGCTGTCAAAGTGTTCTCTAAAGCTTCATTGCTAATCATTTTCACAAGATTTTCTGTTGTGAAAGTACGAAAGTACGTGTAATAAATATACCTATGTATCTACGAAGTTGTTATGTGTTACAAGACGGAGGTAAATGGTATTTTGTTTATTTTAATTAATTTCGCACTAAACCAAAGAGGGTATTTGTGGATCGTTCAAGTTTGATCGAGTATTTCGCTTTTATTATGTAATAGGTTAAGGGCTATTAATTGCGTCGCATATATTTCAAACAACAATTATTTATTTCACTCATTTTACAGTCCTTGTTTCAGTTTGTGAAAGTAAAACAGATTTAAGTAATTTGTTGGAATTTATTTTCGTATACATAACATCTAAAAAAA